AAGGCTGGTAGCGATTGGAAAAAAACAAAGGGCGGTCAAGCTAAGACCTGGCATGGGGGTGTGAAAACCCTAACCAGGAGACTAGGTCACATAAGCCCCGTTAGGTTCCCTGGCTGGGGACCTCGGGATGATGGTTACCGATGGTTAGCTACACTGAGTGATATGGCCGGGTGGCGCTCGTGCATCCACTCGTTATTTTCCTAACATCACTCTATATGTATTCCCATCTTCGGCTTGAATTTGCTTCAACATTCCAATCTTCACTTCGCTCTTTTATCCAAATGGGCAACCAAAACCGGCGCACGAAGGTGCATGGATAATGGTTGTAAAAACTGAACTGAAATTTGGTTCAGTTATTGCCTCGTTCACTTTAAGACGACTTACTCCTACGGAAGGATAAATCACCCTTTTGGTCGAATCCATGAAGATTCTTGGCAAAATGCTACAAGGTGGTATCCATGTTATTCGAAAATGCAACTAGCCTAGTGTAACTTGTAGGGCAACATAGCGATGACCTCATTTAGTGGCGGCACAACTTTCGAAGGTGTAAGGGATGGCTACTTTTCGTCACGCAGCGTCGTGATTCCAGCATGTTTCGAGAGGGACCAGAGCAAGCGATAAGTGATGATTGCCGATTTACACATGTAGGTGCTGAATTACATTTTATCATGTTTTTTACGGTCATGATGCCTTTATTGATTTGTTCCGGGGCGATCCATGGTAGCTGTAAACAGATGCACCCACACTTTCTTTTACTAGTTTTTCTTCTCTATATATTTTCTTCATCATCTAGGCTATTCAGGAACAATTCCCCTTCATCTTCTGACGAGGCCGCTGCAACGACTGACCAACTGTCAAGGTAAGAGGTGTCCATGTCAGTTTGAGATCGTTTAATAACCGTACCTGCTCAAAAGGAAATACACTGTATCCAAAACGTCCTTTGGTGACTCATGGCTTTCATACGATACCTGCAGTCAATGGTACAGAAAAAATAAAAACACTTTTCTATTGCCTTGTCCTGTTCTAATGTGATATCTTTAGAACTGTTCCTTTAAAACCACAGGCTTTCTTACCTGAAGAAATGGGGAGAATTTGAATTCTTATGGATAGTGGATTGCCCCTATCAGATGGATGTATCAAAGCAGCAGAAGATCTTGAAATTACTGAGGAATTTTTTATCCGAATCGGGAATCATCAGTGAATCTTCTCAGTTCAGCCACGATAGTTCGAACCACAACACACGGATCATAAATCAAATTCGTCGCCTGTTTGAGATATCCGGGTAGCAATAACCAGCTCGCTTCGTGCCAGCAGTGTGGCGCAGTGCCCGAACCTCTTCAAGCATTAAAAAACACCCTATCTCACAACTTAGCGGTGTCCTTCATCGGAGGTTCTGCGTTGGAATGTCACTCCCACTGCCATTTTGTCCTCCTTCCTAAATATTGACAGTACCACTGAAGGAAATAACAGTACTGTTATATCGTTCATATTATTTTTATGGATGAACCATACATTATCATTTTCGTGTGTACACTCAAGTGACAAAAGTGCCTTAGTTAACTCTCAAGTTGTAGAACCATTCTTTCATATTTGCATTTCATATACCGACTTGTGATCCCTGTTCGTTCTCGTTTTAGCTGTAATTTACACAGCAAATGTAAATATTCATTATGATAGGGAAAAGTTAAAAGAACATTTGCTGAACTCCTCAGCCAGTTTATTCAACAGTGCGAACTATGGTATCGAACGAAATAACATCTGCACCTAGCCTGCCTGTATTATCGATATCACATAAAAACAACGTTGAATGGCTGTTATTTACCCAGAATTATCATAGCTCTAATCATTACCGATCATCATATTGACTTTCAAGGACTGATCGATGACTAATTATCAAGCCTCTGTACCTACGTACATGATAGTACCATTTGGATTTCATTCAAGCATGCTGTCTTACTTTATCTTTAGTCAGTTTAAGTGGTAACAAGAACGTGATCTGTATACAATTTGACGAATTAAACATTACTGGTAATTCAGTATGTGCTTCATTTAAACTTGCTTGAACGTGTACCAATGCATCTCCTAATGTTTGAGCATATGCTCACCGTATGCGCCATGTACCTTTCACTCGATCGGTTGTTCAGTATCTACTAAAAATATATACGATGCTTCTTCTGTTTATACTCACCGGTCTGTCAACACTCCATGCAATCTGTGTGGACAGATAAGCCCATTTGGAATAACTATCGTGGCAGAGGTATTCTCTCGGATGCGTATCCTTGTCCTGTGCCGCGAGATTGCACTGCACGTTGACGCCCTCGTTCCTACTTCTCCTGCTCCTCTCTAGATTATTCTGTTCATTTTCAGTTTCACAGATTATGTACATTTCAGCACAATAAATGATATATTCCTCTATAGTGTGCTTCTGTAACAACTAGGTAAAATGTGCATAACTATTCGTGAGAGTATTAGCATTAAGGGAGAGAGGATGGGATCAATCCATGTTTTCGCTCTATTGACTCAGCATTTCTCTCCTTCTCTCATGCAGTGTATTGCAGCACTCCGTGTTTTGCCATCAAGACAGTAATGCAGTTGTAAAGTGTATTATGGAGCGTCCCCAGTCGATGAGATTTCCCCCAATGATTGGCGGAACTAATCGCCGTTTTATATTCACCATTAGGAACTCTTCCGAAAATAGTCGACCAAATATTTTGCATCCTGGATACCAGTCAGTGCAGGTAAGCTAATGGATACCCCGATGCCACGTGAGTTTCTTGGCATCGTTCACCCATAACCACGCACTTACTACCTGTCTTCGGATACATGGGTTGAATAACATGGTGTAGCTGCCGAGCTCATGTTCGTCGCTTGCGCTGATCGCCTTTTCGGTGGGGTGGTTTAATCCCACTTAAGTTGGAATAGAAGAGTTTAAAGAAAGCCAGTCACTTCAGTGTACAGTTGCCAGTTATTCCGAAGGGTGCTTTTTAGCTTTTGTCTCAGGTGAATCAGTCAAAGTAATGTTGAATTCCAACACTGTTGTTCTTGTGATTGATGTTCCCTTCATAGGAAACCAAGTTAAAGAACGGCGTCTTCTGATCAGTTCGATGAATACGAGAACAGAACGTGACAGAATACGCTATGTCAGTACTCGCACAATCTGAAGTTGTGGTGATCATTTGCTTGTACTCACCGTCGGGCTTCAGCTATAGTCCTGCTGGTCTCCATCAATTCAGTAACATCAATAAAACACCGGCATTTTCCCACGCCAGCGATTAGTTCAAATACATTTTTCATTGGTTCTATGGGAATTTTTAGGGAAAACTAAATTTTCCATACGGTACAATGTTTTTCAACGACAAATTCATTTGTTTCTGTGTCCAACCCCCCACCCCCGGCCTGTGAAATGGCTTTGATTCATCTGCGTACGATAGTGTGGTCTTTTCATCGGAAGCTAGCAAAATTTCCGGAGAACTGTACGCAAATTAAGTAAAAAGAACAATCAGTTGAAAAAAGGGTCTAAGCAGACTTCGATATGGATATAAAGAAACAAAGTCTGTTTGTCTTTTTTCAGATTGTTCATCATGTGGATAAAACAATGAACTGAAATGTAAAATAGCACCGTCTTGACGATTTGGGGGCTTTTTACTACCTGATTATCTAGGTTGGTATCCGGAGTTAGCTTAGGATGTCTCATCCCTAATTTGTGGTGAGAGAAACTAACTTGGCAGTGAGATGAGCTATTCGCAATCCGCCGCTTATTGATTGTTTATTTTGTCCACCCTTCAAATCCCTTTTTGGGGTACTCAACAACTTTTCTGATAGGACAGTGTCGGTTAACCATGGAGAGGGATTGATGACAAACATTGCTTTCGCAATTCCCGATGTAATTGAGTGTTTATTGCATCCGGTGCGATAAGTTTCAGATCATAGTTTGTCAACACACATACACACCTGACAGGTTATCTTTCATCCACCGGCTTATTTCATATTTTCTACCAACCGTGATTTGTTTAGCATAATCTATTTGTATTTGTACAGACTTATGCGTGAACAGATATCTGCATTTCAGTTAAAAGTCATTAATTAAATGTCATTAAAATAAGGAAATATGAGTAAAACATCTAACCTCCGAGGTTGTTGAGAAATTCAGAAGAAACGCTCTGTCGGTTTCACATTCGTACCGGTGAAGTTCACACAGTTTTTTAAATAGATCATCAACAGGTATCTACTCTAGATGGTATTTGTATTTCCCATAATATATCTGACGATGATTCTCTTATCCATCTCATGAAGCCACTTATTTTGTGAATCACCGTGCAACAAAAGGTCACATTTTCGTATTGGTATTTTTGATAATGTTTTTCTGTGTTCTACCTTCCGTGTGCTCGCTGTAATCCTCCTTCTCCCGAGTGTACTCGACAATGCTTCTTGCAATTTAATTGTAACCATGTAATTGCTTGCAATGCTCTAGTTTTCTTATCTATCTACTAATATTTTGTTTTCCATTGGTACCACGGTGGGATGCTGCATGGAATACAGAATCGGACACTTACCTCTTCCAGCACCGCTCAAATTCTCTCCACTGCGACTGTCCAGACACACTCTGTTATCCAAATGGTTAATAACCCCTCGGACGGTGAGTAATTCAGTCTCGTCATCCTTATTGATCGTTTTCATCACGAAGCTCGACGAATTGTACACTCACAATTGAATAACAGTCAAATACAAAAGATTTCAAGCTAAACGTATCCTTCCGTTCGTTTCACGTTTTTCCTAAACATATTTCCGAAATAAAAGGGGATTTCGTCATTCTGTTCTGTGGGAATATTGTATACGGAAACAGATAGCTGTTCACAAAACACTAAACACATTCTGTCATCATTATTTTACAACTTTTTGCAAACCAATATTAAGGGAAGAGTAGGCCCATCATACCACATGGCGTAAGATGCTGTAGAAACCAGCACCCCCGAACTTCGATTTGACAAATAGAAGTCCGGAGTAGCACCGGTATACTATCGAGCCGACGAAAGAGAAGCTGTCCTCCAAGTAATAAATAATCGGGGGTTATTTTTGTTACTTAAGTTACGTAGCTTGTTTATTTATCCGTCCAGATTGACCAATGAAGTGCCAGTGCTTCGTCAGCCCCATTACACTGAAGATTTCACTTGGGGCTGTGATTAAATACGTGAGATCAAAGTGTCAAGCTTGGCGAGAAACTGGAAACCAAATCATTAATAAGTGCAAATGGATAAGATGAGTAGATCGAGTTATCAATGAATCATTCAGCTCGGAATCGGGTTTACTTTACGTGTCATCAACTCGGATTATTCGCGAACTGCTCTGAACTAATTTCTCCTCGTATAAACATAACTGACTGTTCAAGCTCGAGATCATTAACGTCCGCCACCAATCACTCTTCAGTTTTTCAAATGGTAATTGTGTTAATTCAAACGAGTGTTTCCGATTTGTTTGCTAGTGCACGATCATCACGCAGATAATTACGCCCAATGTATTTTTATATTCTGTCACTCCAGTACATCGTTTACACAGGAGCAGGTACCTTAACCATTATCCAATTGGCCTTTTCTTATTCAACCTTGTTTTGTCTTTTTTTATCCCAGTTCGTCTTTGGGATTTCGTCAGATCTCCGACGGTCGATCCAAATGCTGTGTTGCATATGAATCCAACCTGTCCGGTCCCGTGGACTGCGGTGAGCATAATCATTTCCCTATTCATGCATCTTCTTGTATGCAAAAATTTGCTTTCATCAGAACTGATTTTCATAAAGCGATTTTGTGTTTTACAAGTGGCATATGGAGTTGTTATTCAGCGGTTTAGGTTGCTGTCACTGGTGTGCTCCAATTTCAAATCCTACTACAATCACCGAATTGTGGCTGTGGGCGACGTTGCCCTTGTCTGTCTCAGTGGTTCAGTTTACTGTGTACCGTTATCAATCTTGCACTTTAGCGCAGTGGTTTTAGTCACGGTCTTCTGGCTACCCAGATGGATAAAGAAATAAACGGGTGGTATAAACAGTTGAGCTAAGTCCCAGGATAGAGAAACGGGATGCAGTTTAATTAACTTTGCCCTAATCTCTCCACTCCTACTTGCCTCTGTTGGGGCTTTTCGACCGGTAAACCTCTCCTCATTTATTTACAGGAGTCACCTTTCAAGGGAGAAACTGGTTCACCTCTACACACTGACCTTCCCGGCATGATTAGATCTTCGTCTGTGATCAACCATCGTGTTTACCTCACCAGACCAAAGAAGCACACAAGCTAACACATCGCATGAAGATGCAGCTTAGTTCTGATGGACGTGCTATTAGGGGACTTCGTGTCGATGGCTTTACCATTTCTGTTATTCTGTTCATCGCACAGTAATAGTAAAAAACGCCACCACGAATGCGCTTTTTATCCAAGATAAAAAACTCGTTATATTTTCACTACCTGTATTGTCGTACCCATCTGTTACTTCCACAAACATCTGGTAATTTCCTTTTGATAAATCACTTAAATATGTTAATTTTCGTAAACTAATCTGTGTGGTCGCTATAAATTAACTCCTCTAATGGATTTTGTTGCTAGGACCTTCATATCGAGGACATAGGATTGGCATGTCGATTCATTTGTGCTTGAATGTCACTAACTGCCAAACGAGCAATTGTGATTATGTGTCTGCCTTTTTACTTCCTTCTTTTACGATAGGATGGTTTTGTTTATCAACTTAATACATGTACTAGATAAGGGAACTTACAGGATTTCTTAAAATGTGTTCTGTTTCATTATTCCTACCCAGGTTCGACCAGGTTTGCGTTACATCACGCCAGGAAGATTACCTCGTGAGAGCAATATCGGTCCAGGTAGAGTAGATTTGCATCATTTATTGCTTGCAATATTCTCCTCACCAGTGGGTCATGTTTTTTTCCTTTATGAAGTGAGAATCGAAAACGTCTACCGGAATCGTGTAGTTAATTCGTCATAGGTTTCTTGCCTTCTCGCTCAGCATTCCGTTTATTCCGTTTGAGGCCATGTTTGACTGTTCACTTCTATTTCTGTGAACGAGTTAACTGCGAAACTTCCATAATATCACACAACTTCCTGTGCAAAATTCGCGGAGAGGATTCTCACAGATCCTGACCACCCATTACCCGCAAAATGGATACTTTGTCGTTGCCTTCCCTCCACACGCTCAATCCCCCTAAATTTCATCTCGTATAAACACTTATCTTGCACGCTTATTTACAAACGAAGAGAGGATAACAACTGAAGTTCATCTTAACGTTGGTCTATGAAATTTCCGTATGTCTGTAAATACTCTCCCCGTTGAATATATTCTGTGTGACGGTTGTTATGTATAGTTTTTTAACTGAAACGTAAGCTTCAGTGCTTGCAATACCATACAAAGTTCACTAGTTCAGTTTGTAAGCATTGAGTCCACCCCTACGTTTATCTATCTCATCGAATAGTATCTCTTCTACATGATCAGTGGTATTGTCCTCAAACTGACCAATTCATCAAAATATGCCTTTGGGACTAGCTGCGCTTTTTTCCAAATCTCGGTACCCCTCATCCCAATTGCTCCAGGCGCTATTTCCCACATCCTTTTACGACAGTCAAAAGCACAAATCAACCAAAACCTAGATGAGTAAATCCGTTACGCTAAGGCTATGCGGATACTCTAGCGCATTTCAGGATTGACGGTAACGGTTCAGTTGCTTACTTCAATTTTGGAATTCGCCACGATTGTCCATGGTCTCCCAGGCATATTTGGACGGAACCAGATTGCAGGATATTTTACTTGGGTCAAAATATGCTGGTATTGTATGATGAGGTTGCTTTATTTTCATCTTGTGTTGACTCAAACAGTGATAGCAGTCAATACTTCTTCACTCAACCAGTACTAACATTTCTCAAGATACAATTGCTTGAAGGGTCATCAAGAATCTTTAAGACGAACACGAAACTGCAATTTAGTCAAATAACCCTTGGAATAGTTCACTAAGGGGAATGGCAGAAGCGTGACTTGTTTTTTCGAAAGATCGCGACATACAACAGCAGGGTTTTCTTCTCAAAGACCAGGAAAAATAGTAGGAGAACAAAACTGGATTAAGAACGTATCAGAGTTCGGGAATCTAAAGGGTTAACCAAAGCAACTTACTCTTAAAGGTCTCTATTCTCAGGGACCATCGAAGTTGTTGTCACTTTGAGATATTTAACTGCATTTGATTTTGGAAGGCAAGTTGCCTGCAGTGTAATTGGTTCGGTTTGAAAATAGTTGAGATGTGCACTATATGTTTCTGAACAGGCGTGAACCGCGAGAAGGTTGAGGAAGAAATCGCCAGATTAGATTGAATTATCCTCTGACAGAAAGAAAAAGTAAGCGGGCAATCCGAAAAAGAAGCAGTGGTAGAACGGCTTCAATGAGTGCACTTGATTCGGTTACTACGGGACCGGGAACATTTCCAGCATACTTTCTTCGCGAAAAATTTATCCGCTAATTATACCAGCAAATTAGTTTGACAGCCCAGAAATTATGTTTCTTGTAGAAACATCGATCAGGGAATGTAATCCATAGCAAAGTAGTCAAATAGGGGCTATCGAATAGACTTCGGTGAAGAATCAACTGATTTCTTGATAGAATGGAAATTAAGGATACAGCACCAGTTCAGTTCAATTCAGTTTGTACAACCATTAACCATGAACCTTCGCGTGGCGGTTTCGGATGAACATTAGGAGAAAGACAGGAAAGTTGGAAGTAGGATTGAATAGAAAAAATTAGAATTTCAGTGGACTAATGTTGCAAAGAAATTGATCAGATGCACGAACGCCTCTGTTTGCGACAGAGCCATATCACTCTGTCTCTAACCATCGGTGACCATGATCTCGGGGTCCCCATTCGGGGAGCCTAACGGAAACTATGTGACGCAGACTCCTGATTAGGATTTTCATATCCTCCTGTCCGGTCTTATTTTGACCACTCTTGGCTTTTTCCATCCACTACTTGCCTCGGCAAACATCACTCGCCGTGGCAACCTATCTGGTGACATGCGTAGCACGTGTCCCAACCAACGTAACCTATGGAGGTCGACCATTTGCTCCAGTGGGCGACCGCGAATACCTAAAACGCTGCATCTGACCTCAGCATCGCTCTTCCGGCTGCTCCACCACACTTCATCTGCAATGCGTCCGCCGGGTAACATGTAGCTGCCCAAATAACAAAACTCCACCTGCTCTATTACTTCCCCAGTTAGAGTGAGGCTGGGTGCTAGACTAACCCAGTCTTGTGGCAACATTTTACAGTTTGGAGGTGCAAAACTCATACCGAGCATGGCTACACTGGCATTCATGCCGTCCAGAAAAGTTTGCAAGTTACCTGCATCCTCACTTAGTAGCAGTGTTGTCTGCATACTCCAGATCAGACAGTCTGCCACCTGGGAGTAAATCGACACCGCTATCCTCGCACGAGGATAGGGTTGTTTCCATAATCAGATCTATAACAAAGTTAAATAAAAACGGAGAAAGGGGACAACCCTGTCGAACACCACTTTCCGTGGTGAACTCGGGCGAAAATGTGCCGTAAGCTCGGATTCGACTTTGGTTATTAGTATAAAGAGATTGTAATATTGAAATGAACTTCTCGGGCACACCCTTCAGAGCGAGGCAGCGCCAGAGTTTAGAGCGGTAGACTGAGTCGAAAACCGCTTTCAGATCAAGAAAGACAGAGGTGGTGGGTCTACGAAAAGAATCTCCGTGCTCCGGAGTTTGGCAAAGAGTGAAGATGTGGTCGATACAACCTCGACCAGGTCTAAAACTAGCCTGGTTCTAGAACGTGCGGTAGACAACCGTTGAAGTATGATACCGGAGAGAAGTTTAGAAATGATGTTGATTAAACTAATTCTTTTGTGGTTTTCACATCAGGATGTGTCACCTTTCTTGTAAATCGGTATGATTTTCGATTCATACCATTCAGTTGGCACGTCTCCCCTCTCCCACACTGAGCCCCGGAGTATTGTTCACTCCGAAACCAAGGCTGGGCCTCCATCCTTACAAGCCGATGGGAACATCCTCCCTGGGCCGGAGGCCTTATACCTTTTGAGGTAGCTTATTTCCCGGGAAACCTCCATTTCAGATGGAGGACTGACGTCAACTGGGAGTACTTGCCCAGTCGAGGTGGTGGGTGATAGTTCATATGTCAAACGGGGCCAGTTGAACTGAGTCTCGAAATGTTATGCCCATCGATCAAGACGGCGTTGCTGATCGTGAGTCAGTGTGCCATCGGGTCCCTAATTACCTCACGCCTGTTTTCCTGAGGCCCGTATTGCTAATTAGACGGAAAAGGTTGCGACTATTGCCGATAACCGTAGCCTTCTCCAGCTCTCTACACTTTCCTATCCACCACTTCTCCCGATCTGACTCTTGATGAGCTGTCGTTTGAGCGAATTGCGCGCTGTCATATGTGGCATCGGGAAGGAGGGTTCTGCAGGCGTCCAGCAGGGTAGTCGAGGTCGACGCGATTTATCTTTTATGTTTAGAGCTTGCGGCAGGGTCCGACGTTGTTTTTATCGATTTTTGCATTGCTTCCATTTGCTTTAGAAAATTTAAAGGAGTCGTTTGGGCTGTAGTTATTTGAGAATAATACTGTCAGCTTAAGACTACTTAATTTGAGAAATAATGATAGAACTAGATGGATTTTGGATGATCATAACCAACCGTACTTACATTGAATATATTTTTCACACACTTCTGAGATCATTGCCACAACTAAGATGTAGATGTGTGGTTCGTACGCTTCGTATTTTTGGAGCATTTCGCAAGGAGTAAGGGAAGGTGGACACGTCACAACCCGATTCTGCCACCCCCAATCATACTGAGGCTTTCAAAGGCAAATGTAACCCGGGCGATTGATGAACCTTCCGAGTTGTGGAACGATTTAGATTTAGATGCGTGAACACTAAATCTGCTTTCATTTCCTCCCGCAAACCCTTATCTGACACTATATATACTGTGTTGTATTGGTGTGAGCAGAACACTGAATACGATCTTGTTTGCTGAACACTATCTGAAAATGGGAACTTTCAGTTGGTATTTAGGGCGGAAAAAGCTATGTTGGCGGGCTTCCAAATTGCAAACTACGGGATAACGGGCTAATGGTTCATGCATCAATTAGCTAAAATTTCAACAAAAATCTAGGAATGTTATTAGGAATAAAACCCAATGTTAAATCCCATTTTTCTATCTTATAAATAAATAGTTTGTAGAGTTCCACAGCCGTTGTTGTTGTGGTTTTCTTTCTACTCCATTAATCCATCGAAACTGGAACATGACGAACATTCAGTGACCTGTTAAAATTTTGTTTTCCGATCTTGTAGTTTATTTCAGCAGGTTCCCTTGCTGTTCACATATTAGTTACCATTATCCGCTCGATTTATCCATAGTTTCTATGACTCAACTTCATCATGATTGTCAACCAATACAAAGGACTCATGTGATTCCACGATCCAATGGCGATTCTGTTCGACCACCACCATTGGAGTTCTTCTACGTTAAGCATCCAGTTACGTTGAACTCGGGCCCCTCATCAGGTGGAGGACAAGCATCAATACGCGGATCAAGCACTCTCATCAGTGATTCTGTTACCCGACCGAAATCGCACTTTCGCTGCGCACTTTGTCCGTTCACGTGAGTCCATGTTTCCCAATCCCTTATTTCCATGTCCTTCTGTTGTGTGCAACTTTTTATCAGGAGATGATTTGGAACAGGCCCTGCACGCCACAATATCCCGGCTCGAAAAATTATTGTCTCTCTTCTGTAAATGCAACACACTAAAAGACTCCAACTCACGGGTGCATATTTTTGTCGTTCGTTATAGTTGAACTCTGAAGCAGAAGTAATCAGTATTATCAGTGACTCCGGTCGTGGGACTATTCTCCTCTGGACTCTTACACCCGAGTCCTTTGCGTGCAGTTCGGAATCCATGATGAGAACCGTCCTTCGCGTCTAACTACTTGTCCATATAGAGCATTATAAAGGGACTCAAACGGTCTTCTAGTTCGTTCGCTCCTACTAATGAATAATTTATGTTGGAGCTTCAACCCAAACAGCCTCAGTATCTTACCCTACGATTGTTTCGGTCTTTAGCGGCTCCGATGTGGAACCGAAACTTCAATTGCGGTAGTCCTATCCCAACCACCTGTGTGGATTGAATTCTACTCGCTGGTATTTGTATAACAACCAGTATATCGGTTCAGTGACCAATTAAAAACTGTTGCTATCGCTTTGACAAATCCACGGACGCTTTTAATCGAGGAGATATTTGTGTTTCGACGATTAGTTATGCTAGCTCCCAGCTCTTACTCCTGTGGTGTTGTGCAGTAGTGGATTTCGCCCTAGACCGCTTTTTTATTACATACCTAAGCGATGAACAACAGACGGGGCGAAATCCATAGTCACGAGGACCCGCTGTTCAGTGATGGAAACCGGCAACCTATGCCCCGGAACTTGGAGTGGCGGATCACAGAAGGCCCCGATAGTTTAGGCGTGGTATTGAACCGAACAACAGCAGTGCTGCCTATCACCAAAGTCGGGTGGCAGTGGTAGGGCTCGAACCTCGGACCATAAGGTCCAAAGCACTCTAGTGTCTACGACTAAACCACTGCGCTACTACCACCCAGCATTCGAGCAATATAAAAACCATCTGTGAGTGATAGAGCCCGAGATTTGTGCCTGAAATCGGTTTTCTGTTTTGGGATACGGATGGTTTCAGAAAACGTGCAGTATGTTTGATTATTTATCACAGTGATGTTCAGCGTTTGTTCATTAACTGTTACCAGTTACTGCATTGAGAGTGTCACCTCGATTAGTGATGAAACGTTTGCAATACAATTACCAAGCTCGGCGAACAACTGAACACCAAGTTATACTACCCTAGCTACAAAAACAACAATCAACACCGTTGTTTACAAAACTGTCATTTATCACAGTCTTCATAATTGCGGAAATAGTAAGTCGTTTCTTGTAGTCAAAACATTTGATTGCGTTGGAAAGCTGAAGCGTGAGTGCTTACCGATAAAGATGACTCCAGAAGTAATCTGCAATGATTTTTAAAACTGATCGGTTTTTCTTCATTCAAAATTTTGTGTAGACAACCCTTCGCCATCCGCTGAATACCGTCTACTATCTATTATTTACAGTGCATCAAAAGCTGATCGTGTCTATCGTCATTTCACGCGAGCCCATTCTACCACACCTCAAAATGACGCATTTCAACCAACTTCGGTATCAGATATCGCACGCGAAAGACTTCCAAGCGAAATCGCAGAAAACTTGAATCACAAGTCCCCTTCGAATGCATTCCAACCTCGCCTGTCACCCGTGAAAGATGTCGTAGATCCACTATATCTTGTTCCTCCCCGTTGTGATGCTTCCTCGAAAGGAACAACAGAAGGTTCTGCTCTATCCCCACAGGCAGTGTGCAATTCCCCCTCGGTACCCCCTACACTCAGCTCATGCAGAACCGGGTTGGAACAAAACACAAATGGTGCTACATCATCAGGTCCCAGTGTTCTTGCCAAATGTTTGGAAAACTGTTCTCGGATCCCGCTGTCAACTGTCAGACGCCGCAAACAAGTGTTCAGCTCTATTCACAGATACACAGAGGAGTTATTTGATGAACAATCGACCGACCACTTACTGCTCACCGTCTCTCCTGATTCCTCCTCACCCTCCGATGAATCGCAAACTGGCGAACTGTCACCAAGTTCTTCAACCTTACGGCCTCTGTTTGTCGATCTCTCGTCAAAACCAAATAAGCTACCTAATACGGATCAGCGCTCGTCACTCTGTTCAATCACAGGTACGCGGTGTTCTAATATTACTTTTTCTCCTTTAAATCCTGAATTGTCTATAACCGTTAGTTGCTGAGTAGTAGTCATAAACTGTTTGACACCCGAGTAGGTAACTTTCAGCTATTGCGTGATTGCAACGGATAAAAATTGAATAAAACCCAAACGAGATAATGTTTGTTAAATGAACAAACTTGATTTTTATTTTCTTAAATGGTTTTACAAGTCATAGATGATTTTTGCTGGGTCGCAAAATCGACATGATAGTTAACGCAGAGCGGGACTACCACAGGAAGTGGTTTTGGATGCACCTTTGGACAGCAGTATATATATATATATATATATATATATATGCAATCACTTTTGTTTCGTAAAATTATATAACACGCTAGCAACACGAAACACCTTGTCTGTCTTGGTTGAACATAGCGTAGCACATGCGTGTGTGTCTTTATGTACGTTCTGAGTCCAGTCATTTCACGCCTGACTCGGCTGCTTTCTCGTTCCAGACGTGCCTGTTGTCCACTTTCGCATAAGACAGTCAGTGCGGATAACTCGAGACTAATCGAGAGATGGATCCCAGTCATACTCATGAGTATCCTGAACACAGGCAGTCACTGCAATGCAACAGGACTAGTCACCGTTCTCCTATTTCGATGATACGGTTGTATGGTAAGCTTAGTGTTCCATAGCAAAATATTACCGGGGACATAATGTTGAATTTTGTAAATTGTTAAAAAAGGGTGAAAATCTGTTATGGGCCAGCATTCAAAGTCCAACTGTGTAAACACTGTGCGCGACTCGGTTGTTCTAGGAAACTCATCTCCACGAGCTCGAAATTCCCAATCGAACCACGTGCCACGTTAATGGGGTTGCAGTCAAGTTTTACCCGCATTGGCTATTCATGGATGATGTATGCCCCTGATGTTCTTGTGCTACATGAGCAGTGTCCGGAAGCACAGCAATTTTTTCGCGGCAAACGCTTTGAGTTTGCTTCATACATTTTAGTTTAAATCAAGGTTAATTTGAATAATTTTCTTGGTGAAGGTTTCCATTCGGCTACACAGAGAACAAAGACGATCACTAATAGTGCAATGTCCAAAACGTTTAATCGAATTGTTCCATTTGTTTAATGCATCCAATAAATCAATGACCACGAGTCATTCTCGACTAGCTGAAAACTTTGAAAGATCACAATTTAATGGAACCAAGCGTTAGTTTTCCTCAGTTCACCTTAACGAGAGATATCATTTTTCCATCCGTTGTGTAGCAGTCACTCCGGTTTCGGATGGCGTTCCTTCAGCCTCAACAACTCCACATGATCGAGTTACGCAGGAAATGTCGACTACAGAACCGGAAGCGACCGAACATATCCCCGCAGCGCCAGAAGCCGTGGTCAGGTGAGTGTATAACGAATTGAAACAGTTCGCAGATTCAAGTCTTATGTTGAAATTGTGAAGGTGTGAGCTTCTTACACCAATTGTGAACGGTCTGGAATCAAAGTCTATGCCTAATGTGATTCACCACTGCAAGTCCCGAGGCTTAAGTTACCTGTTTTCATCAACGAACAGCAAGTTTTTGTGACTATGGGTCGCGTCTTGCTGTTCACCACACAAGTGTGTATAATAAAAGAAAAGCCAACTCCCCTTGATTAACTACCAATGGTCAGCCTAACAGAAAGCGCTGGGCAATCGCTTTTGCCTCCCACTTTAGTGGCGACACATTCGTCATTTGAAGTTAACTGTTAGAAATTCCTTCATGTGATCCTCCTTTTATCTCCCCCCTTGAGTTTATCGATATCCAATAATTACAATTCATTCTCGCCGAGCTTGACAGTTTGTTTGCAAACGTTTCATCACCAGCCGAGGTGACATCATCAGTGCTTGTGAAGTCGCCACTGGTGGTGAGGAAACGTTTGCAAACAAATTGCCAAGTTCGGCGAACAGGCGAAAAGGAATTCAGTTCATCTGAGCTACGAGTACCGTTTTTCGATACTGTCAAATATAATTTAATTATGCCTAATTTCGTAAATTTGTATCCACAAATATGATGTAAAACACTAGAAGTTCAACCATCCGTATTCATAAAGCTACCACTAAATTGTCTGTTATTTGTATTTTAATTTAATTCGTTGCCATACTAAAACCCTATGTAAGCATTGCTTTTCCCGTTGTATGCACCATTCTGAGATCCGGCGAAACTGGGATCAGCAGAAGAACAATAGCTATGCAAGTTGTAGCACATTAGCGGTGTCGTTTGTTTGTTCCAAGGTATGGAGAGTTTTCGTAACGCATTTAAAATACCTGCAAGCTCCGGCACTCTTGGAGTGTGCTTTGAGCTGGCGAAATGCAGCGTAGTACTCCGAGACTATTTCGGAGCTCCAAGGTCACAAATCAACTCGTTGACTCAATTCGCTTTCAGTTTGTACAACCATTAACGTAGCATTTTCGTGCGACCATTTTTATTGCTATCTTTTTACAGCTCATTTTGGCGGAGAATTATATGAAAGAATTGAAAAAGATGGCAGCTGTATCAAGGTGAAAATAGATAACTCAGGTACACTACTGTTGCGAAGAAATGGAGTAGATGCACCGCGATCATTGTTCACGATACTCAGCCGTAATACTGGGTGTCTTTAAGCATTGAATCCATTCATCTTGAGATTGCCAATCGAATAGTCCACAGGTATCTACATGTACAGGTTCCCTGGCCGGGGTTTTCATATCCCCATGTTATTTTTTTTAATTTGTTCATCTTACGCGATCTTTTCCCGATCAACAACACACGTCAAAGATCTCTGTCTAGGGACATATATAACACCTACCTTAGCCACCATTTGCAAATCAAAGACTTGCTCCGTTGGGCAACCGCGTTTGTTTTGAAACCGTACCTAACCACCACATTACGTGTGCAGTTGCTCCACCCAACTCGTGCAGTATGGTGTGGACAGCGGTGTCTGAACATGCATAATCTATTTATGTTCTGTTCTCTCAACCGCCAAGTGTCTGAACCATACAGGAGAACCAATTAAACTCATGCTGTAAACACTCGATATACCAATTAAATGAAATGCCTCGGGGGAGGGGGGGGTGGGTTCAAAGTTTTCCAACGCCAACAGAACCTTCAGTATGCGCACCGATACTCCTTCTGCGATGCAGGCTAGATGTAGCTGCCAAAGTAACCAACCCAGTGCCGTAAAACCTGTCACACATATGCGGCCGTCCGTTCAAGGTATACACTTATCATAAACCCCTGCTAGCCCTACTGAGTGAATCGAAGTAAATCCAACAGTTTTACTCTCCAATACAGCGGAGATGGACACTTCTAAGTGTTTATAAATACCAATAACAATATATGACAGGGTTCAGTAACGTAACGGTGGACGCACTGAGTCGCCTTCCGTTAACGACCAAAGTAAAATGCATGGAACTCCCGAGCTGATTAATCAGGATACTATTCCAAGTGAGAGCAGGGATACTCAACGAATGACACAGAGATTTATCTGAATCCAGAGATATCCGATGCCTCCGATGGGCTTGAGACTCAGACCCACAAGCATCATTTGCTGCGGAATACATTGCTCGCGTAATCTGATCCCACTGCTCATCTACATCATCAGGTTGAGGCGCTCTCAGCTCATGCACTAGCTCTGATTCATAGCGTACACGAACTGCTGGATCAGATAGTCGATGATGAGCTATCCAAGTTTGCTGAATCCGTCGCCGGCCAGTCAGTCGGTGGATGAACTGTATCAGAAGTAATGCGTGGTCAGACTCAACGCAGGTGGCCCAATAGGACGTGCAGTTTTGCACTGAGCCACGCCGACGGTAGCTTTTTTATCACACACCTGAGTATGATGACGGGACAAAACCCATAGTCACGAGGACTTGTTGTTCAGTGATGGGAACCGGCAACCTATGCCCCGAGACTTGGAGTAGCGGATCACAGAAGGCCCCGATAGCCTAGGCGTGGTATTGAACCGAACGACAGCAGAGCTGCCTACCACCAAAGCTTACTGCTATGTGGTCGATATGAGTTCGTGTATCGGTTGAACTGGAGCGTCAAGTTGCCGTCCGTTAGAGTTGTGTCAAGTTCAAGTCAAGTCAGTAGTAGCTTTATGCACCCGGATGGGTGTATTTTCATCAATTACACCATATTTGTGGATTCAAATTTACAAAATCGTACATAGTGAACACAATGAAAGCAGTAGATATTGTGTTTCTCAATAAAGCAAGCAATTGCGCAATTCTGTGGAAATTGTGTCCTTGTCTATAAGTAGACGTGCTAGATATGGCAGAACAGAATTGCGATAAGCACAGGTACGTGCAAATAAAAGTTTAAATCTGGAGCGTGTGGATGATGTAGATACAGCTTTTGAAAATTCATTGTGTAATGGGTGGTGAGTGTCTGAGAGTATTTTGGCGGCGAAATTTTCACATGCTTGTAGGTGTCTGTCAATGATGGAATCGGCCAGTTTATCCCTGACAATGCCACTACATTTAGAGATGTGTTTTAGGGATCTCGCCAGTAAATAAAAGTCTTTCTTCAACATACCGGGGAAAATTACTGGAGAGCAATACAAGCAGTGGGGTAGCACGCATGCATTCACAAATCCTACAATCAGCTTGTGGGGAACAGAAAGTAATCTCAATCGGAGTGAGAAATATGAAAGCTTTCTAACTTTACAGAATGTGTTTTGAACGTGCTGTGA